GTCTGATTATTAAGTCTTCCGTTAATTGGTGATGTGATACCCACGTGGACATTGACTGGGCACCACGTGTCAATATGGGTCCCATGTGGATATTAAAAATTAAAAAATTAAACATTAAACAATTAAAAACAACAATAAATTAAAAAAGAAAACAAAAAATGTGGGCGTCTTCTTCCTCAAGGCCCCCGACCCTCCCTTCCTTATCTCCTCTGCACCCACCTAACCCCCATCTCTTCTTCGACTTCCCGCACCGGTTCACAAGTAACGGACACCACCGCCGCTGGTGACAGTGTCAGAATCTTTCAAGGAGGGGAAGAGCTCATCCTGGCAGAGGAGAGGATTTAGGAGGCTAAGTATGGACTGTGACAGCTCATAAACCTCTTGCATGGCTCGGATCTGGGTAAGTTCGAGCTCAATAGGCTCGAGAATGAAGTCGTAGATGCGAATGCGGCTCAATCCGTTACTTCTCTCCAGATTTGCAGTCAGTTTTCTCGAGATTTGCTGTCAAATCTGGTAAGTGGGGCACACTCCTTCGAGCTCAATGGGTCATCGAAGAGGATGAGGGTTGGGTGGGTAGAGTCGAAGAGGGGGAAAGATGGATGTGCAGAGGTTGGGTGGGTGCAGAAGAGAAAAGGGAGGGAGAAGGGTGGGAGGGTCGGGGGCTTTGACGAAGAAGACGCCAACCTTTTTCTTTTTTTATTATTATTTTTATTAATTTATTAATTTATTTAATTTTTTAAAGTTTATTTATAAAAATAATGTCTACGTGGACCTTTTAATGATACGTGGCGTCCAGTCATTGTCCAGTCCTGAAAACAAGAAACAAGAATAACGTGTACAAAATAATATTTTTGTGTTTAATGATTTTGGGGTTACGATCTCTTTGTAATTTGATCCTCTGATTCTATCTCCGTAAGATGTAGATTTGTTGATCCAAGGGCCGTCGATGCTTGATCTTGGATGAACAGTTGTAAGTTTCTTCAAGGGCCTTCGTGGCTTTGATCTTGAAGGTTGATGGAAGTTTCTTCAAGGGCCTTCGGGGCTTGATCTTGAAGGTTGATAGATGAGCGGATCTTCAAGGGTTTTTGGGCTTGATCTTGAAGAACGGTTGGTTTTCTTCAAGGGCCGTCGAGGCTTGATCTTGAATGAACAGTTGGTTTTCTTCAAGGGCTTTTGGGCTTGATCTTGAAGAATGGGTGTATGGGTTCGTTGAGGTTGTTGATCCAAAGGGCCGTTGGGGCTTGATCTTAGGATGACCGAATGATGAATGATGAACACTTTCTTCAAGGGGCCGTCGGGGCTTGATCTTGAAGGTTGATGGATGAGCGGATCTTCAAGAGCTTTTGGGCTTGATCTTGAAGAACGGTTGGATGTGTGGATTTGTTGATGTTGTTGATCCAAAGGGCCGTTGGGGCTTGATCTTAGGATGAACGGATGATGAACGATGAAAACTTTCTTCAAGGGCCGTCGAGGCTTGATCTTGAATAATGGAAGTTCTTCAAGGGCCGTTGGGGCTTGATCTTGAAGGAGGATTTGACGAAGAACGAAGAGTGCTTTCTTGATCCTTCGGGATTTTCTTGAGAGCTTTAGAACTTTAAGGCTTCAAGGTTTTGGTGTGTAGAGAAATGTATTTGTGAATTGGGGTTGGTCTTGGTGGAGAAGCCTATTTATAGGCTTTGAGAGTGAATCACCACCACAAAATTTTCCCACCCAAGCACTATTACCTAATTTTCCCACTTAATGCAATATTGAAATTGAAGTGGTCTAACAAATGGCCTAACTTTCCACTTAATGCAATATTGAAATTGAAGTGGTCTTATTTATGGCCTAATTTCCTACTTAATACAATATTGAAATTGAAGTGGTCTAACAAATGGCCTAATTTTCCACTTAATACAATTTTAAACTTGAAATGTACTTGCTTTGTCATTGCCCAAATGAGAAAAACTTGCTTTGATCCGTAATGGATTAAAATGTGCTTACCTTGTCATTGCCCAAATTGAGAAGCAAAACTTGTTTAATCATCTAAGGGTATTTCTTTCTATTTTGTTGAGTCACATGCCATGTGTACAATTTGTACGACACGTGGCGTATGCCATGTATGCCCTGACACGTCAAAACTTTAATACGTTGGTGAACATTTGTTTCACCGAAATTTCGATGTCTACAATATCTTTTTTTTTTTTATGTAATAAAAGACTAAATAGTCTTTTCACCTTATTTTTATTAACAAAAAATATTTTATTAATATGATTTGAGATACGTGATTAACTTGAAATTTTACCATAATATCATTTCACTTCATATGTAAGTATGTTCTTTACCTCTACTATTTTTGCGGTTCATCAATTCTAATTTCTAAGTTTCTAATTATTTGATTTTTATATCTGAGTTTTAATTAAAGGGGTGTGATATCCACACATCTCATTTTACTTCTCATACATCCTTCTAATTTCGACCGTTGGATCAGATGAATTGAAGAAGATCAACAGACATAAATTATCAAGAAATGTATAAGAAGTAAAATAAAATGTGTAGATATTCGACACCTAATTAAATTTCTTTCCTAAAAACGGGAGTGAGTCGCCTACTCTAGGGCTAGGGCAAAGATATCTCACTAGGATTTGATCCCATCGACAGTCAACACATGGACCGTCACGACGCTGCCACTACAAGAATTGGCGGCAAAGATTTGATGATAAACTGGCAATGATCCCCTCTCACCACTGCTTCCTCGCTTTGTTTGCACGCAAGCTTTTTTCAAGGCTTGGCGGCTTAGCCTCATCAACTCGGCTTGGCCTAATGCTCTAATTACAAGCATAACTATATAACTAATCTCTTGTTCTCAAGCTATGTTGGCAATGGCATGGTTATTCGTTCTGGATTGTGTTATCCACATATTATTTTTTACCTCTCATACCATTCTTTTAGTTTTCGATTGTCAAATCGAATGAGTTGAAAAAAAATAATGAACAAAAATTAACGGACAAAAATTAATAAGAGTTTGTGGGAGGTGGAATGAACGTGTGGATAACACCACCCATTTGTTCTACATTTTACACTAGTGATATTATTGAACAAAAAAAATTTAAAGCTAATGCTAAAGAGATCAAATTTCTAATCAAATTTTGTAAACTAAATACTGTAGATGTTAATAATTGGATTATTACTTAAGTTTTGATTAACGTACTTATTTTTTATTGGTGACATATCATTTTCCAAAAATTAAACTGCAAACACTTTCAATTATGACATTATCTCACATAAATAAGTAATTATTTGAATTATGACATGAATTTAATCACAAGAATGGTAAGGAGACTCTCAAAGTGGGATTCTTCACTACCTTATGTTTTTTACACAATTTTGTATAATGTTGGCATCAAATTTGTGGAAAAAACATAAAATGGTGAAGAATTTGTGAACAGTCTTATTTTTAAGAAAGCTTCCTTAACATTTACCTTTTAGGCTTTTTAGTTAAAATAGTCCATGAGATTTGCATAACACATAACTTTGGCCACTGAGATTTAAAATCAATAGAAGTGATCCCTAAGATTGTCCACCATCCATTATTTTGGTCATTTCGTTAAAAAAACTCCGTTAAGTTGAGGGTATAACACATAACTTTGGTCTCTAAAATTTGCATAACACTTAACTTTGGTTCTTGAGATTGTCCACCATCCATCATTTTGGTATTTCCATTAAAAAGCTCAGGAGCACTTAACGGAGTTTTTTTAATGGAATGACCAAAATAATAAATGATGGACAATCTCAAAGACCATTTTAGCTAAAAAACCTACCTTTTATCATATGTGACAAATACAAACATCGTGGTCTTCACATGCCACAAATATAATAGGTTTATACAATTGATCAAGATATTAATTTACAATAACATAAAGTCTATGGCATATGATATGTTGTCAAACTCTATTCCACAAAACAACAAGACCCTTAAACTACATATTGGGATTTAATAACTTAATAAGGTATTAAATTAAATTTTTTACTAGATCATCCGTACATATTTTTGTGCTCTTAGGCAGTTGAACTTGTCCTATCCCCATACTCCCATGGACGATAATAATAATTAGAAAATAAAATAAAGTGAATTTTTTGAAATGTCACATGAACTTATATATCTGTTCTAATTTGTCATATGAATTAGATTTTTAAGCAATTTGTTATACTAACTTTTCGAAATCATTAATTGTCATCATACCCTAATTTTGTTAAGTTTTTTTAGCTAAAATAAATTGCACATAACTTGTGTTCATGGTTATTTCAATCATTTCAACACTCTACTCTAATAAGTTGTCTTCGACAAAAATTCTAGGGATCCTCAATCAATACAAAAGGAATGGTTGATCTGGTATACGATGATCTAATGGTTTGCCTTTCAGAAAAAGGGAACGACCTGCACTTACTTCCTTGTTTTCGAAGTGAAGATGAATCAAAATATAGTTGCTGGGAACTCTCTAGTTTATGGTAAAATAATATGATATTCTTTATGTTTTTGCAAGCGACATAACTTATTTTTTGGATGGAAACTTTAATGGAGCTAGGCTGGGATGATAAATTAATAATTTCAAAAAATTAGTATGACAAATCGTTTAACTTTGTTTTCATATGGCAAATTGAAAAATGAGTATAAGTTCGTAAGACGTTTCAAAATTTCTACCGTTAGAGAATATTAAGACTTTTGGGAATTTCATTTCAACTATAAATTTTTCTTTTTTCTTTTGAAACCTAAATATTATTTTTTATGGTTAATCATTCCAGCTGCTTAATATATTCACATGTTTAAGGTTAATGAAAGCATTTTAATCATGGAGGTTGACTTTGGTTAACAAATATTTGCAATAAAGTATCTCCCTAAAATCATTGACAAAACAGAGTGTTGGGCTTGTGCTCCCAAAGAATGAGAATAATTATTGACACCATTATTCTATTAGAAAAATAATTACTTTTTAATTAACTAAGTGATTAGTGGAAGATGTGGGGCTGTCCAGAAGGAAGAAGATTAGCTAAATCCAATCCAGCATATGCCCACTGTGTGTGAGAGGAGAGAGGGAGCAGTGTCTTTGTCTCTCCTATTTGAGCTGCTCGTTACTCCAACGCGAACACACAGACAGATGATCTCCATAAAAATATAAACAAAATCACCCAAATTTTCTCTCCCCTTCCTCCTTCTACTCCTCCATCTTTCACTCTTTGATTCAGACCCCATGAAAACATTTCCCAACTGAAAGTTTTGAGCTTTTTCTGGATTCTGTGTAACAATTTCAAACATCCAATCTTGTAATTTAGTTTTTCTGGGTTTTCTGCTTTGGCTTTTGGGATGGTTTTTCTCACTCTCTTCTCTACATAGCATGAAAGTTCAAAGATTTTGTAATTTTTGGATGATTTGAATGGAAGCTCATATCTAAGTCTAAAAACAATTCCACCTTTTTGTCTTCTTTTCAGATTTTTGCAGAGATTTCTCTGCCTTTTATTTTTTCTCTCTTAAAACGCCATTTCAGATCCCCAATAAACTTTTGGTTTTTCAGTTCCCACGATCCAATTTGGACTCAAAATCTCAACAAAACCCTCCAAATTCCACAAACCTTGGTTTTATATTTCGCCTCTTCTATTTCACACTTTCATCACAGAAAAGTGTTAAAATTTCAGTCTCTTTTGGTCTCAAATCAGACTTCACGAATCTATTTCTGACCCAAGAACTCTGAATTCGTTTCTGAAAAACAAAACCCAGATCACCAAATCTTCCATATTTCCCGAACTTTGGTCAAAAATAGAAACTTGGGGTCCCACAAAATGCAGGACCCTGCAACTTTCCAACCCATGAAGCCCCAGTTTCCAGAGCAAGAGCAGCTGAAATGTCCGCGCTGCGAGTCCTCCAACACCAAGTTTTGCTACTACAACAACTACAACCTCTCGCAGCCGCGCCACTTCTGCAAGAACTGCAAGCGGTACTGGACCAAAGGCGGCGCTTTGAGAAATATCCCCATCGGCGGCGGAAGCAGGAAAAACACGAAGAAGTCGTCGTCGTCAGCTTCGAAACGTTCCTCATCGACTTCCTCATCGTCACTGTCGAGCTCTTCAGCAGCAGCAGCTCAGAACCCGGATCCGCAGCCCGACCGGACCCGGGCCTACGGCTCAAAAGTCGATCAAGACAGCGGAGTGATGGACTTCTCAGGGAGCTTCAGCTCCCTCCTGACTTCAAATGGGCAATTCGGGTCGCTTCTGGAGGGTCTGAATCCAAATGGGTCGGGTCTGAAACTGATGCAAATGGGTGATTTTGGGGAGAATTTGGATGCTGCAGGTAATGTGATGAATTCGGATCCGGGTCCGGGTTTGGAGGGCCAGAGCCATGGGAATCCAGAGAGCTATATGGGGTTGCAAAATGGTGATTCTTCAACGTCAAGCTGTTGGAATGGGGCCAATGGGTGGCCTGACCTTGCCATTTATACACCAGGTTCAAGTTTTCAGTAGATATATTAAATAGATGGTTATGCTTTTAATCTTCTTTTCTTAATCATAAATTTGGTAATTGTGATGAAAAGTGGAGCTGAATTATGACTCTAAACAAGCTTATTCGATAAGCTAAAAGCAGCTTCCAAAAGCTTATTATTTTCTGATGTTATAGAGGGTTTGATAAAAAACACCACAGGGCCATCATGCCTTCAGCATTCTAATATGTAATGGTTTCTATTTTCTCTCTTTTTGTGTGTGTTTTCTGTCTGTATGTGGTCTTATAGCCTCTAAAATTATTGATTTTGCGGATTTTTCCGCCAGAGAGATCCTAGGAGGCTCCTCTTATTAAAGGATGCATGACTTTCTTTTACCTGTTACTCTCATAATATTATGGTTGTATTTTTACAAAATCATACCATGTGCTAGTTGTAATGATTGTGCTTACAGTTTGGTGCCTTCTTTGATCCGGTATGCATGTTCTGTGATGGTGTGACATGTATGTACTGTGTTTGTATGCATGTGTGGCTTTTTCTAGATTGCGTTGAATGTTGGATTTAGACATTTTTGTTGCTTATGGATATATAAGATAATTTGATATATCCACAAGGGATTTTGTTTGGATATATACATAGCAATATTTTCTTATACAAGCGACTTGGGGAAGCAAGACATTAGGATTACTCGTTAATGATCAAGTTTGATGGATTTGTCCTCTGAAACAAGAAATTTTGTTTTTGGAAGGGATAATATCAACCACTTCATGTCTATCCGATGCATCCACTAGGGTTATTTCGTAACCCCCACCTTCTTTCCTGTCGTATTATTTTACATACTATGATCATTATCAAAGAATGATTCTGGTTATCGAATGAATGAACAACTTGGAGGCTTAATACAAGATCTCTTGTATTCTCAACCACTTGAGCTAGAAGTTTGTTGTTGCACGCAAATTTTCATTGTATCACAAAGGGATCATGAAAAATACCTTTTTTGGTGAACATTTATTTGAAGAAAAATTAAAAGCATGATGACTTTTGGAGTTGGAGAAGATATGGGGAACCATAACTTCATTATGTAAATTGTATAATTTGTAATTTGTCTTTCATGGACTAGACAAAGTTCAACGTCCAACCTAGTGGGATATTATTTCAAACTCCGAAGTCTCTGTCTCAGTCTCATTTCTTCACCACTTGGCAAGGACCACTTGTGTTTATTTGTTTTCTTCTTATCCACAATTAAATTGAGCATTTATTTGCCAGTACTATGGTTTAATGATATTTATTTTACTTGTAAATGAAAGGTCATAGGTTTGGATCTTGTGCATGACGAATTAGATACCAAATTAGATTGTTCATTATGCCTTAACCGAAGTCCCTTTCCTTTTAATAAAAAATATATCATTGTCCTAAAAAAATATAGAGCATATATTTATGAATTATTAGGTTGGAATTAGGTCAACACTTTCAACTCCCACCATTTGGGCACTTTTCCTTTTTATTTAGTTAATGCATCAAGAGAGTATCTTTTATAGAGAATTGTTATTAGTACTCTAAAAATACATTTGTGAGGAATGTAGAATGAGATTTTTGAAGTGTCAATAACACTTTTTTTTTTTTAATATTTTCCAAACCAATTACTACATATTCCATAACTTCAAAACACTTTAGTGGTTGAGTAATGAAACAAAATGAAGTATTAATAAGAAACATGTTACATATGATCCAACTTTAGGTGTTGAACGAATCTCAACAATAATAAGTTCGATACTAATTTATTTCCTCGTCTTTTAGTGTAAATATATCGTCGTTGTAAAAACAAGATATGTGATATTATTGTCGTTGGTACTTAAACGACATTGGCGCAAATCAATCATTCCAACTAGGTTCAATTTTCATCAGTTCTCCTTCCTCTAATAACCTTGCTCTAATAATTAATTATTTAATTTAATAAAGCTATTGCTCAATAGAAAAAATAATATTATTAAGAGAAGAGTGGCTTGTCAGCCTCTTTTTATGAGAATACCATTTATTTCCCCATTTTCATTTGTTACTTTATAGTAAAACAAAATATACAAATAAAAGATTACGAACGGGGAGTCAAATTGAAATTTGAGAGTGAATAAAGTGGAGGTATAAGTTTAGGGATTACTGTGAAGGGTGAAGCTATCCATACACTCATTTTTACTTCATACATATCTTCTCAAATTTCGACCGTTGAATTGATGAATGGTTTGAAGACAACCAAGATAAGAACAAGCATGGCTAAGGCGCTTTTGGCTTGCCATGTCATACATTTTAGTTTAATTTTCAAACCTTATTAATGCCTGAACTCTTCTACTTACAAATAAAAATGAATATCACTGTATCGTAGTGCTAAGGTGTTTTAGGCTAGCAATGCCATGCAATGTGGATTAATTTTCAAACCTTATTAATGCTATATGCTAGATCAAATAATTCAAGCATTAAATGGCACGGTTAGCCGAATTCCACTTGAATTGGTAAGTTGTGGGATTCAATTCAATCCTTGCGTGTTTAACAATTTTCCCTTATATTACCAAACAGAGGGTCCCGTGTACCCAACTCAAATGAAGGAACGCGTTTTCTAAGGTGCGGATCGCTGTTTGCAGACCATATGCGAGAATCAAATATAAGGCTTTGGATTTCATCTGAACGGCTGACAAATTAGACAAAACGAACTTGGAGTGAAACCGTTCACAATAAAACTGAGCTCATTAGTGGAACCGGGCCCTATTTTTTCTCGCAATGGATTTGGAATTTGATTTTTCCTGCAAGAAGTAGGATTCTGTCACCTCTTGTTCCCATCCCTTTCTTTCACCGTCTCTCACATATTATTCTTTGTTTTATTGCTTCTAAAAAAATTAATATAGAAATTGGAACTGTTCAAATAGAAGGAAAGAGAATAAGAAAGAGATTAGGAGAGAAAATCCTCCTTCCACCCCGTCAAATTTTCTTGTCAAATTCTTCGATCGTCACTTTTTCCCAGACCCAACCTGTCAAAATTTTCGTCTTTTCCCCAGCATACCCACCCCATCGAGTCTTGCATGCATCGTCGCATACGACCACCACTGTCCGCATCGGCAAGCCGCTGCAATGTCCCCCTTCATCGTGCCCTCGAGATTGTCTGACACAGTGAAACTGTTGACGTGGCCCACTTATTAAACGGATGGTCAAATTTTCAACTAATAATAAAATTTTAATGTTCAAAACCCAACCCAACCGGGCTCACTAAAATGCCCAACCCAGAGATTGAGGGAGACGGATTGTCTGCCTTTATGTTTGGATGTTTTTCTCATTCCTTTCTATTTGTACGGTTATGGTTAAATCACGTCAATATTTTATATTCATATTGTTTTTTGTCTTATTATCTCTATAAAAAATCAATATAAAATGTTAACGTGATTTAACTACGACCGAACAAAATAAGAAGAAACGAAAAGAGCACCCAAACAGGAAGACAAACAATTTGCCTCCAATAAGTCTACATTTTACGATTTCTTTGCCGAGTGCCAACGAACGAAGGTGGGAATAAAAGTAGGAAACGAAGACTTTGCTTCCTTTTCCTATTGAATGTAGTCAATGTCAAGGAAGTTGCATGTGCTACAATATACATACATACATATACATATATACATACATATACATATATATATATATATATATATATATATATATATGTATGAGAGTGATGAGAGTAGACATGCACTAGACAGGTGTGTAATTGGCCCTGATGATATGGCAATACCCTAACTCTACACGCGGACCACATTTTTATTGATTTTATTGACCAAGGACAAATACGAGTACTCGTTTACTTGAAAACTTTAAATAAATTTATGATGTGTTGAATAACAATTTCGTTTGTATTTGTTAAAAATACAGAAAAATTACAAGGAAATAAAATAAAAAATTAAAAAGAATTTTAGTACGTTTTCTTTCGTTGTTTCAGTTTCTAAGCTTTCTTCATTTCTCGCATCATCCTTTACCGTTTCTTTCCTCTCTCGGATACATTCTTCTATATTAAGAATAAAAAGCTAAAACAAAATAGTCATCAATCGAGTCATTAATAATTTTTTTAACAAATAATGATGTTAAAAGATTAAATTATTAGTTGTTAAAAAATAGTTTGATAAAGATTCGAATCTAAACTAAGTTGTATAGATATAATTGTTTTTTATCACTGCAGTAAAATGTCATATACAACTAATATATAAATACTCGCCCTTCTCGTAGCCCATCCAAGAAACTTACACACACCTTCCTCCAAAAAAAACAAAAAACAGCGATCGTAAATTCATGCACGTAGGTGGGTCGGAGTCCTAATCCAATCATTGGTGTACTAAATTAGCAACCTTATAACAGTACCAACTGCTAAAATTAGAATTAACGCCTTGTAATGCATAAGCTTAAACAAGAGTCCCAATTACCAGTCAAAGACTGAAGACTCGAGGTCGATCGACGTCTATGCGTTTGTCACAAGTATAACATTACCACCGGGAAATGGGCATCTATCCGTGTTTAGAATAGTGATACACATTCTTGTTATTATTATTTTTTTTTATTATTATTGATTTTGTTTAATTCATTTGATCTGACTCCAAAAATTAAGATGTTGTTTGGGCCCGAAATACTATTGTTGGGCCGAGCAGCAAGATGTGCTCGGCCCAAGGTGATGACAAATACTATGGGCCGAATAATAAATCATGGGCCAGCTGGCAGGGTCGGCCAAATCCTATCCTAAGTAGTCCAGATAAATAGAAAAGGTCGAGGAAGTCCTGGTGCGGCCAGGATTCTCGACCGGCAAGGAATGGAGTCTCGAAAAGAAGGAAAATTCAGAATCCCAGTGGGAGTAGGTTTGTTCGAGTTAGAGTCGAAATGGGACAAGGACTCCCAATCCAAATCAGAATTGGTTTCAAGGAATGGGGTACTATAAATACAAGAAATCGTGCAACATATGAGGGCCTTCAAAATCAGCATACAATTGCCCTGCGCAAAACCTCTCAAACACCTTGAGATTTTTCCTTTTCTTTTCCTGCCAACACACCTTCAGTTTGGATAAACAGCACTGTGGAAGCACCCGACGAGCATCTTCAGTTTGGATAAACAGCACTGCTGCCGCAGAATCAGCCGACCGAGAAGCACCTTCAGTTTGGATAAACAGCACTGCGTCGAGGTCGACCGATTATCTATCTAAGTCTCGGCCGAGAAGGGTTTTCGAGCCCTTGTTGGTAGAGGTCATCTCGCTAGCCTTTCCGGCATAGTTGGGTGTTACGAATTGCATTGCTCGGCGCATTGGACGTCGAGTGATTTTATGATTAGATACTCGCAAGTAAGCTTCAAGGTTCAGCATTCC